AATAATTTAATATTAACTAAATTTTTATATCAACATTGAAAGTTTAAATTAATTCTAATTTATATTACAAAAATTTAATAAAAATTTAGATATAAAGGCTTTAATTTTATTTTTGGCTATTTTTTGTCAAATTTAGAAAAAATTAAATAAAAAGATCATAGAAAGTTATAACATTAAAGTTTATAAATTATTAAAAATTATAAAAAATTAGAAAGTTTATAAATTATTAAATTAAATAATAGAGATTATTTAAATTTAAAATACAATATAAAATTAATTTATTTTTAAATTTATATTTTATGATTGATGATTTCAATTGATTCATTTAAAAATTTCATTTAATATTTTTTTATTAATTAAATTTAATATTAATTTAAAGTAGATTCTATGCAGATCTTATTAAACTTATTAATATTTTTGTTAATAAATCACACTATATTTTGTAGTTAAATAGCTCAAGATAATTGTGATTTTAACTCATACGTACAGTTGTTTTTTTAATATCATAATAGATTTTTTCAGAACAAGAACTATGGAAATATTGCAGATTCACATAAAAATAAGAATTAAAAGTGAAATACAAGTAAATAGCAAAATTTTACGTAAATTGTTATAATTATAGACGGTTGTGGTTACTTGCACTAAATGAGGGACTTTTACTATGATGCATTTAATTATGAAGAAAACGGTTATCTTAGTGAGATTTATAAAAAATATACTCTTAATGAATGCTTAGATTTGATCTTATACCAATTAATTGGTAGGGACTTTTACTGAAATGCATTTAATTATGAAGAAAACGGTTATCTTAGTGAGATTTATAATAATTAGTGAATCACAAAACATTATCAAAATTTATTAAAAATTCTTTATTTTTTAATTATAATAATTAACCGAAATAATTAACCGAAATTTTAGTGAATCACAAAACATTATCAAAATTTATTAAAAATTCTTTATTTTTTACTATAAATTCAATACTCTATAAATTCAATAAATTCAAGACAAACAAACAAAATAACCGTAAATATTTATCACACTGATATATTTATTCAAATTGAATATTCATAAAGACATTAAAAGATAAAAATTTCACTGACAATTTATGGCCAGTAAAATTCCAAAAGTAAGCATAATGAAATATAAACATCATAATAACGGACAAAATTAATTAACCAAAATTTTAGTGAATTTACATCAAAATTTTACATCAAAATTTATTAAAAATTCTTGATTTTTTAATTTCGACAATGAGAAGATTGGAGAAATGTGGAATTAACATAAGATCATTTGATATTTAAATGTTTACTTTCCAGAAAATATTTTGGATATAAATTTAACTAGTAAATAAATTATTAAACAAAAAACGAACATGTTTATATTAAATATTTATTTAATACAAATAATATTAAAATAAATATACTAAAAAATATTAAAATTTATAAAATCAGTAAAAATAATTAAACAAAAGATGTGTAAAATTTTATAAAATAAAATTTAATTTTAAATTAAATTAGTTAATTACAGAAGTGGTTTTGCTTCGAACAAGAGATGGCAGTAATTAATAGCCATAGTATTAAAATCATTAATTATTAAAATAATTTACTAATAAATTTATAAATATTACCATTTAAAAATATAAATTAGGTTGTTGGCGACCGGTTAAAAACCGGTACCCTCGGTTTTCGGTTTTGGCCGGTTTACGACCCCTCGGTTTTCGGTTTCGGTTTTTGATTGACCCCCGGTTTTTGGTTAACCGAAACCGGTTTATGCCTGAATTTGCCATACAGAATAAGCAATTCATATTTTATCGCATTATTATGCTTCAATGAAATATTCTACAGATCAGCCAACGAAAATTTTGTTATTTAGAGCCGCAAGTGAAAATACAGTGCTGGGTATTTGCTATTTATTAGCAAATCCTTTGACCGTTTATTACCGTTATTTAAATTATTACCATTATTTAAAAAATTTTTAGAAATTAAATAATGTGAATAAGAAAAAAATGAAGCAATAAGACATTTATAAAATAAAAATTATTTAAATAATTACAAAAATTTTACATTTTTATCTATACATCGAGCGAAATTTTTGATTTTATTTATATTTTCAATTAAATATTTTTAGAAAAGAATTATTTTTATAAAATAATTTGATATTATAATTATATTAAAAATGTAAAAAATTATATAATAAAGTCGATAATTAATTTAACGAATCTAGAGAAAGGGGACTCAGGAGGTGCTCTGGTATGGAACAAGAATATTAAATATTTATTATTAATTATTTATATTTTACGAGAATATAATTATTTATAATTATTTAATAATTATATATTTACCTATGGCTAATAATTTAATTAAAATCTTCTTATTAATATGGGAATGTTGAATTAATTCTGATTTATTAGTTTTTATATTTTATAGAAACATAAAATATTTTTAAATATAAACAATTAATTTTCTAAAAGTTTATTTAAATTTTATAGTTATATTAAATTTAATGTTAAAAAATAAGTTATAAAAATCAAAAAAATTATTTGATAGAAACAGATAAAATTATTTGAATAATGAATTATTGTGTTGATTATAAACCTGAAAATTTTAATTAAAAATATATAAATAAAATAATTATTTATTCAAAACTTTAATTTTTATATTATGTATTGTATTAATTTATTTAATATTCATACATTTATTTAACTTAATATTAATGATAAAATTTAGTAACAAATACATAATAATAAAATTCATTCTTAATATTTTATTTCTTTTCTCCGCCCCCATTCGCTCTATATAAGTTTTAACCCTCACGTTAAAACTGTTCCATTTCCCAATCATTTTATTTATGCAATTTTACTTGTTCCCACACAAGTCAATTTATTGATATTATTTTTAATTTATTTATCTTCAATAAATATTATTTGACCTTTCGGTTTATTTCTTTATGTATACTAGCGGAGTATACAACATTTACAAAAACTTCACTTCTATATTAGTAATTTATTTAATATTCATCCATTTATTTAACTTAATATTAATGATAAAATTTAGTAACAAATATATAATAATAAAATTTATTTTTAATAATTTATTTGTTATTGAAAATTTCAAAAATAAAAACGATCATATGTAATATATTTTGGCAATGTAATATGAAAAACTTTTCATACATTTTGACAATTATTTTATAAAAAATTCATACTTTATTTTAAAGCGTTTTTATTAAATAAGTATTTTCAATTAAAATAAGTATTTTCAACAATTAAATAAGTATTTTCAACAAGAGCCTACGGAAGTTGATCCAATACTGGTAATTGACTTTTGCACAAATTTTTAAATTATATAATATGATTCATACACAAACTTAGATATATCAATTGACAAAAAATTGATGATATAACACAATATAGATGCTTTGTTTGAAGAAATATTGACACATCAAGAACTAATATTAGAGGTTTATTTCTTTAAAGAAAACAAAACATTTAAAAAAATTAGTCAGTTGAATTTTTTTTATATTTTAATAATATAAAAAATATATTTTAATATATTTTAATAACCGATGATGTTTTAATGTGTTGTGTTAGAATTTGCCTTTAAAAATGTTGTGTAACATCTAATTCAGAACAATCGAGAGCAATTTATAGTATAACAAAAAAAGAGAACAAGAAAACATAAGAATAACATTTAAAATATAGAAAATCTAAAATTCTTTAAAATTTTATATAATAAATAATATTAAGTATAAATTTAAAGTAAAAAATTTTATTTTAAATTATTTAACTTTAAAGTAAATAAAATTTAAAATAGCTTTATTTACGCACTTTTTTATTCTACATATTCTATTGCCAACATCAAAAATTAGCTGTTAAAAAAGTTTTTAATTTTTTTTATAAAAAATTAATTTTAAATTAATAATTATAAAATTTAACACTCTTGAATAAACGCATTAAATTGCGTTAACTTAAATAAATATGGATATATTAAAAACCATTTTTCTTGGGTTTTCACTTCTTTTACTAAGAAATATTAATGCAAGCATAATAAAAAAGTTTATTTTTTATAATAAAGCAGGGAAATCTAAAACGAGCTTTTTCTCATTCCATTAAAACGTTATATTTTTTTGAAAATTATATAATAGTATTTATTTGTGTACCATTATTTATTACACATTTGGTATATATATTACCATATTAAAATTTTGATAAATTTCATTTCAACAAATTAGAATATTTAATTAGAATTAAAGTTCAAATTTATATCAAAATCAAGATTCTGAATTGATTCTTTGAATTCTTCATATTTCACTCAGCTTTTACATAAGTCTATTGCATAGTCACCATGGCGCCATCCCCCAATCGGACAGCAAATAGTCCGAATAGTGTATATCCAATGGCAGCAACCCAGGTAGGTACAACTACATACATGTTAAAAAAATATTCTTTGTATCGAAAATTGAAAACAATTCGTTTTTTGAATATAGAATATAAAAATAGTCAAAAATATTCATTTATTTTGTTATTTAAATTTATTTCCTCATTACACAATTATAATTTTTTAAATTTATTTTTAACATTTATGTAATCAAATAAAATTAGAAAATTTTTTTATTTGTATGACAGATAAGGAAAAAGTTGTTTTCGTAAAAATGCTTAAGATTTTTATTAGCACTCAAAGAATATTTTATATTTAACATTTTTGATAAATTTTTTTAATTTAATAGAAAATCCTGAGACTATAACATTGACACCTCGATTTTAATCGAGGTATTTTTCGAATATATTTAATGGATAAATAAATCTAAATACATAAATCTCAATACATTATCTCAATACATAAAATGAGAATAATTTTTTTAGTATTTCAAAAAAAAAAGTCTGTAAATATCTTTTATTTTATACTAATAATTTATAAAAATGTAAGGATCATTCACCTATCAGCATTTAAAACGCTTAGGCGGGGGTTAAACGATCTAAAAAGGAAAAAGAGAAAGCATTTGTCGATGCCCCGGTAGCTCAGAGGTAGAGCTCCTGCATATAGTGAGCGAAAGCGCCTAGCAACAACTAGCAGGTTCGAATCCTGCCCGGTGGCACTTTTGCAAACTCTTTCTAAAATATTTAATTTTAATCTTAATAATTTATACTGGTTGACAACAAAGTAACCGGGAACTTTATTTTTGGCATAACTTTGTTCAAATTAGAGATAATGGGATCAAATAAGCTTATTTCATGAAGAATTAAACAAGGAACAAATATTGCAAAAAAATTATGAATTACTATCCCTTTGATCGAATATAGTTGAACGCACTAAAAATTGAGCTAAAAGTTAGCCCCATCTTTGGTGAGATTTTTTCTCATTCCAGCATGATGATGTTTTAGGCAAGGCACAAAGCCTTGCCTAAAACCTGGATCGAAAGAGTAATCCAATTATTCAAATCCGGTGAGTACGTTGGTTTTTAACATTCGTCTTCAAATCTATATCCGAGCAAAGGGTGGCAATTCGAAAATTTTTGCTAAAGTTTGTCCCATGTTTAATTCTCAATTAAAGAAGCTTGATTTGTTACATTTACTCTAATTTTAATCAAGTCAATAAAATAAAGTGCCCGGTTATTTTTTCAAATCTATATCCGAGCAAAGGGTCGAAAATTTTTGCTAAAGTTTGTCCCATGTTTAATTCTCAATTAAAGAAGCTTGATTTGTTACATTTACTCTAATTTTAATCAAGTCAATAAAATAAAGTGCCCGGTTATTTTTTTGCATCATGCACATCTTTCTCAGTTTGTTCAGTTTGCAATAAAACGGATTTGATTTATTTTCAGAATATTTATTCTTCTATCCACCTTAAGCATTTGATGATGATCCTCCTTCTAATAAATTTAATATTAGAAATCAATTTTATAATTTTAAAATGTTTACTAAATGATTCGGAATATATTATAGGTTTTACGTCTGAGAAATAACTCGATTGTATCTGTAATTTGGGCATATTTTTCTATAGATAAAATAATAATATGTAAAGATACAAGATTGTTTTATGAAAAACTTTATATGAGATGAGAGTTTTATTCGAAACCTAGGTACATTGTGACGACTTGGTTAAAACTATTGTGTCGTTTATTGTGATTATATTGTGACGACTTGTTTAAAACTACTTAAATTAAAGATTATTATACTAACCATCTTTTGCTTTGGGAGGAACAATTTTATGTGCATCATGCACCTCGTGTACAATAAAGTCTTCATTTCGATGCCATTTTTCCTCTTGCCTTCGCTTATGCGGGCGACGTCTACCACTAGGTGCATTCTGTTGGACAGATTGAGGCGTTTCCTGCGGCGGTGGTGTTAAAGGATGCCCACGACGAAGATTTTCTTGAGCTTGTGGCGGCAGTGGTAAACTTGTAGCTTCAGCTAGATCTAAAAATAACTAAAATAACAGATTATAGTCAAGCTTTGTTACAAATAAATGAAATTTTCTCCTAAATGTCGATACTAATCTCTATATTAATTTACTCGACCTTGATGTTGGCGTGCATGTCGTGGTGGCAATTCTACTGAATAAATTTTATTTAGTTTCATACTAGGGTTGGACAAAACCGTTTAATTTTGAAAAAACCGTATACCGTTTATGCCGTTTATCTGAGACCCGTATACCGTTACGTTTATTTTTACCAAAAAAAACCCGTATACCGTTTAGCTAAACGGTTTTGTCCAACTTTCATACTATTAAAAGTCAAATAATTTTTATAAAAACACACCTTCAGCATTAGATATATTATCTTCGAATTTACTTTGACAACACCCAGCATAAGCTCCTTAAAAATAATTATTTGTATGCTTAAAAAAATTTTTAAATTATTACCCGACAGATAAAGCAATTCCAACATTAAACAAAGCATCAAATTTGAACTATTCATTTAAATTTTATATAATTAAAACTTATATACTTATCGCGGTTCTTACGAGAGTAAAACGATGTGATATTGAATCTTGATCTTAAATTTTAGGTTTAAAAATACACAACATAAAAATATAAAATTTTAAAAATAAATTTTAAATTAAACATGAGTAAAAATTAATAATTTTATTCTAAAAGAAAAATGGCAATGGTAAAGGAATTAAAAGAGATAGAGAATCTTCTTTACTAATTTATGCCCTTTACTAAAAGTTGTTTACAAAAAGTACACAACTTTGAAAAAAAGAGAATCAAATTTGCGCGCGACGCGACTTCTCTCTCTTTTTCCGTTTATTTGTCGTGAGGCGAGTAAAATTTTTATTTAAGGCATAAAGAAAAAACATCCGGACAGGAATCACTTACTTGTAAGTAATGCCTGTCAAGCATCACTTACGGACAGGCATCACTTACTTGTAAGTGATTCCTGTCAGGCATCACTTACTTACGGACAGGCATCGCTTAAATCTATATTATTGACTACTATTGACTACTATATATAATAAAAGAGATATGCCGCGCGCTATGGACTTGTTTTTGCGGCATGCGCCTCGCAGGAGTCAACGGTTGCTGGGTTCCAATCTATTAACATATTCCTATTCCTTATTTACATTTACAGCCTTGGCGATATGTTTGGCGTTGTGTTTAGTTTTTGTTAAAAAATGACAGTATGTGCAAATTATGAAAATAGTGTGTATTTAGCGAAGTCAAGAAACTTTAAAACATTATAAATAAAAATATATTTTTTTCAAAAAAGTACAAATAAAAAAAAAATAACCGAATAGATTAAAAGCCATTTTTAAACATTATTTACAAAAAGATAGGAAATTATTTAACAAAAAAAAATCTTTAAAAATTCCCAACAATTTTCGTAAAATAAATTAATTTCCATGCAAAATTAAATTTCTTTATTTGTTACTCCCGGAAAGAAGTAAAAATGTTTACAAAGAGTTGATAGAGTTTCTGGTACCTTCAAATAAATAAATATATATTTTTTGATTAATCCTAAAAAATACTTGTTTATATTTTCCACCAGAATTTGACTCTTTTTTGGCAACTTCACTTTTAACATAAGTTAACATTTTTAAAATATCATCATTTTTTGCTCTTTTACTAAATACTTCACATAATGTTTGAATAAACCTTTAAAATTGATGATTATTAAATAATTAAGTTTAGCTTTAAAATAAATTAGTTAGAACGATTTTTTACATGTTTTATTCGACTCAGCTTATCAAACTTATTCGAATGAGCTATTATTTTTGTAAACTTTTTTACCATCAAAGATTGCCTCGGTGGTATTTTAATCTTTACGGGCCAGTATCTCGGTCGAATTTTTTCCCCAAAAACGAGTTACTCCCTCATATGATTTTTTGATTTTTTACGACCTATGTCTAGATCTACAGGCATTTCCGGTTAAAAGAGTGGTACCGTTCGACTCACAGCTTTTATTACCTTATTGTGAAATTTTGAGCATTAATGTAGGGAGGTTACAGAGCGGAGAAGTACCAAAATTTTTATTTAAAACCCCTAAATTCAACTAAAATACCCTCAAAAATTTATCAAACCCCTACCAAGTACCAGTAGCCGAATTACGCCAAGAAACGTTGTATGAAGTTGTAGCAGAAGCTATCAAAATATCAGCAAATGTTGGAACTTTTTCTATTTTTAGTCTTTTTTGAACTTTTTTCCCTTTAAAAAATATATCTAATTAAGTACTATGCGTTTTTCCCAAGGTACGAAAGCCCAAGGTAACGCAGAGCTATAAATTCGTTTAAAGTGATCGAATCCGGGACGCCTGGCACTGAACGAGCCGAGTCGAGTCGACAATTTTGAATGAAGTTAAATTTTCCCTTGGCCTGCTCCCCTGTGCGTTTATATGCACGCATTTTCTACATGCTTTATCAATTGAATGCCATGCTAGGTGGATGTACCAAACTACCATTTTCGATATGTTATCCTATTCCAACGAAATCTTTTTGTGAATAGAAAGCTCTACTAACTCTGAGTTACAATACCGGACAATAAGTTCTGAATGAGAAGCTTGGAACCTGTTTCTATAGAATAAAAAATTTTTTTAAGAAGGAAGAAGAAAAGGAAAATGCGGGCATATAAACGTGGTGTTCTTTTAAAAACCCTTTTTTGTTTTTTTACCTTGACTTTCATTAAAATAATTTTGAGAATTTGGTGATGGTGCATTTTGAAATACTGAGGAGGCATTTAATGGGTTATTATTGTTGCTATTATTAGGTTTAATATATTTAGAAAAAATTGAAAATAATGGAGGAAATGAGGGACCATCTACACCCTCCTCTGATTCAATTGTATGTTCAACACCTGCATCAAAATTCTCTTAAAAATTATTTTTTCTTTATAAATTAATTAATTTAAAGAACCTCCTCTACATGCTTGAACTATAAATATTTTTGGTTTTCCTATTAATTTTGGTGCATTTCTTGAGTTAAGACTAGATACAAAAGAATGAAAGTTGACAGGCATTTCATCAACACCCAATAAATGGTCAAACACTCCGTGACTAAGTACAACCTTTTAAATTTAAAAAAATATTTTTCAAACTTTTTTTGGTAATACTTCGGCCAACGCTCCCCCCCCCCCCCCATCTTACTCTTTACTGTCTCTGATCATTTTGACCTTTTTTGCTTGATATATAATTTACATATCATTCGAAGGAGCTGTGTGAAATGTGTAGAATGATAACAAGTTCGGTTAGATTTGGCTATTTTGAACAATATCATGAAGCACGAGATTAAAATAAATGAAGATAACTATGTTGATTTAAGTCATATTTCCAGGATATTAGTACTAGAGATCGGAATTTTGTTCCGTACCGTATTACCGACTGTAATACCGATAAATACCGAGAAATACCGACAAATACCGATATTTTCCATCGGTACCGTATTCCGTACCGTATTTTTTAAAAAATTTTTCGTACCGTATTCCGTACCGTACTACCGATACGGAATACCGATAAATACCGAAAAATACGGCCGTAGTACGGTACGGTCCGATCTCTAATTAGTAAAATCGAATCGGCTTGAAGAGCTCTTCGAATGCTAAATAATTTGTTATAAAAAATTTAAAAAATGGAAAAAATAGAACAAAAAATGGGGAGGAGGGTGAC